CAATATATATATCACGTATATCCGAATGCATGTTAGTGTTGGGTAGGCAAGTGCCAATATTTATATAATAGATTACGCCCTTACCTACCCTAAATATCATCTATTAAGAATATATTTATTCCCGTTTCTTTTGTCAACCTGCTATGCGTCTTTTTTTTACACTCATTAAAAAAATAATTAAACATTTCAGAAATATATTGTGTTATTATAACTTTTCGAACTGATAACATGCATACCACACCTATTTCTGACAAACTAATCACACTGGAACTGGCTCCCTCGCCTGCTACGACGGCGCCAAGACTTTAGCTAGTATTCCATCACGTAATGAGATCGTAGCAGAACATGATAATGGGATGACTGCTATACTTCAACAATGCTTATCTAATAATCAACCTGTATACTTTATACCTACTGAAGTTAGTGATGATACCGAATATGTAAAAGGGGTTTCCACCTATATTTTCCGTATTGCTGGTACTTTGATTGATGAACAAAAAGCAGTCATGAATATTACAGGTATCAAACCCTTCTTTGATATCGAAGTACCTGAAGAGATGTCATTATCTATATTTAAGACCAAATTAGTAAAGATGTTATCTAATATTCTTAATAGCATATCGAAGTTTGGAATCGAGACTATTAGTGCTTTCCCACTTCAAGGGTACCATATAGAAAAAAAACCATTTATCCGTATGAGAACATGGAACCACTATGACCGGTATAATGCATTAAAAGCAGTCTGTGCTGTTGGTATGTGTACAGCTTCGGATGATCTAAATTGCCAATATTATTACCGCAAAGTAGCCTGTGAAGAAAGATTATCTCTTTCGAGTTAAGCAGTATTAAGTAATTATTTATATGAACACATTCAGGGGTACTTATCTCTTCCAAGCATCTGTGAATAATTACAATCCAATAAGTGAAGACGATTATAACAATCCATTATTTTCCTCAGCGCTTTTACGAGATCGCACCCTTGTTCTTACGTGAGATATTGAAACATATAGCTCACGAAAAACAGGCGAGGTACCTATGCAAAATATAAAGAAGATGTTGTATTCTTGATTTGTATGACAGTTTATTAGAAAGATGATCCCAAACCATTAAAACAAATTTGTCTTGTTGATGTTGAAACCACTCCAGACCCACAATGGATTACAATCGTATGTGGATCCCAAACCAATTTACTAAAAGCATTCGTATTGTATTGGAAACTCTTAGCTCCAGATATACAAATAGACTTTAATGATTCACAATACGACTGAAAATTTATTGTGGAGAAGGCCAATAAATTAGGGGTTTTCTAATGGATGTTCAATCATATATCATTTAAGCCATCGAGCTTTGAAAAAATTATAAAATGGTAATTTTGGTAAATATGATAAAAGTAAATGATAGAAAATTCTATTCGAAATATCTTAAAATTCCTGGCTATGTGGCTATTGATGTCTAGCCCTGTTTTAAAAGATTCTATTCTAAAGCTGAAAAAAGTAGTCTCGCATTTTACTTAAGGGAGTATGAAATTGACAACAAAGTGGACCTACCTATTCATTGTATGAACAAGTATTATGAAAGGGCATTAAAAGAAACAAATGCCACAATGGCTAAGCAGATACGCAAAGTGGCCAAATACTATATTATCGACGCTTTTAGCTGTCAGTGGTTAATAGTCAAGCGCAATGTAATCAATGAATATAGGGAGCTAGTAACTCTAGCCTTCTTATCATTATTTTGATGCACATTATTTTGCAAGGGGTATGAAGGTTTGCAACCTTTTAAGTGCTAGCACATGGCAAAGAGGGGTTCTATCCAGTACAATCTCAAAAGAGAAAACTGGAACTAAAAAATATCCCAGAGCTTATGTCTTCCCACCAATAAAAGGCCTTAAAAATAAACATCCTGTAACTGGCTTAGACTTTGCATCGCTATATCCAAATCTTATTATGACATATAATCTTTTATCTGATAAAATTATTTTATCTCGAAAGCATGCTGAACAAAGTGGTAAAAAGCTTCATGAAATTAGTTTTAAATTCAATGATCAGGATATTCTTGCATGGTCCATTTAGCATCATAACATTCCTGAAGAAAAGGGTCTCTATGTTAGTGTGCTGGAGTATTTATATGGTAAATAGGTTAAGATGAAAAAATCTCTTGTACCCTTGAAATATAAAAAAGAAAACATAGAACTGGTAATAGGTAAAATAGGTAAAGGCTTGTCATTACCAGAAGCTATTGAGCAAGTTTTAGCAAATGCAAAGGGAAAACAATGTGCCAGCCTTAGCAAAAATCTATATTATTTTATTAATAAAGAAAAACATGAGTTCATAGCAGAATATGATTCAGTTTCTTTTGACTATTCTTGCTTAGATGCGAAACAAAATACTCTTAAGGTATATATGAATACATTCTATGGTGAGGCTGGAAATAGCATATCCCTTTTCTTCTTGCGTGAACTTGCTAGGGGTGTCATATTAGCTGGACAGAAAAATATCAAACTTGTCGCAGATTTCGTTAAAAGCAAGGGCTTCTGGATAAAATATGGGATACTGATTCCTTATATCTTGTCTGTCCAGAAGAATGCTTTTAGAAATGTGATGAGACATATGACAGTAGAAATAGGATCTCGAAAGAAGAATATTGGTCTAGAATGGTGAACATCTCTATGGAGTAATAGAGAAACTCTGTGACAAAGTTAATGACTTTTTTAGAAAAGATAATGGATCGACTTATCTTAAAATGGCATATGAAGAAGTTTTATTTCCGGTAGTATTTACTGGAAAGAAAAAATACTATGGCATTCCACATGAAAGCAAGCCAAACTTTAATAAAAAGCTTTTCATTCGGGGTAGAGACTGTAAAACGAGGGCATTCTACTCTTTTCTGCAAAATAGGAAAGGATATTATGGATGAATTTATAAAGATGAACAATTCACGTACTTTGTATCAGATTGTGGAGAAAGTACTCAAGAAAACCATAAATGATATTTCTCAGATAAACCTTAATAAATTGGTTCAAACTTGTGCGTGGAAGTCCGATAAAGATAACAAATCTGTTCAACGCTTTATTTCACAAATACAAGATAGGCATATTCGTGAAAAAGCTAAAGACCAACAACTTATAAAAAAGGGCTTGACATCAGAACCTTATCTTTACCAAATTCCAGAACCAGGCGAGTGCTTTGGGTATATTGTAGTTGAGAATGATTCATTACAGAGAATAGGAGATAAAATGGAGTATCCAGAGGTAGTAAGACGATTAGGTAAAAGGATCGATATTAACTATTATCTGAAAAGTGTTGCTGGCCTCTGTGCATATTTTATAAATTATGATGATAGATACCAGCCATCATCTGAATCTGTAGGAAAATGAAAGTTGGCAAAGATTTGGATAAAGACGAGATATCAAATATGAAAGATGCCTTAGCGCAGAAATCAGCTGAAAAGTGGATTAAAGAGTATATCAAAGACCTACGTGATGGTCCAAAAAAAGATGAGACTATCACATCCCATCTATGAGAAGAAGCTAATATTTATGTGAAAAATTTATATGATACCACTTATACTAATAGCATAGAAAAATACTTAGGAAATAAGTCATATTGGACTTCTTTCCTCAATACATTAAATAAGCAAGAGGAATCTATCCGCTTAAAACTAACAACATTACTTACAGAACTTTCTCAGGATGATATGGGGTGTAAAGAAGAAATGTATAGATTAGTTACTAAGACTAGCAAGTACAAATTAAAAGCTATGAACTTAGAAAGATATATGTTATCGTATAATAAAGAAAATGAGTGTAGTATACTAACCAGTTTGCGGAATATATGGCATAAGATAGCTGGTCTAGAATTCACACATTATCAAGCGTTATCGAAGCTACAGGAAGATAAAAAGATAATTCATCTGAAGTAGATATAGATGATATTATCAAATTATATTGTTAAGTATTTTTAGCATACGTAGCAATTTCAGCTAAAAATACTTACAATAATATTTATATATTTTTTTCTTCTGCAATGATATGTGCTAACTTCAATTCCTATATTCGATCTAGTCACGGGGTGGCCTCTTCTAGCCCGGTTTTCTGATTACATAGTCCAGCCACAGATATGTCCGGAGATATAAATCACTAGTCTAAATGTATTGGTTATTTTTTTCCATATTTTTTCCCAACTACAATCCATATAATTGCAATCAGTAGTAAGGTAAGTATGGAATATATTATCATTGGTATCATTAAAGAACCTGCAATAGTAGGAGTAGTTGCTAGTAAAGACTCGGCTTCTGCACCATCTACAGAAAATATTTGAGAGGGGTTAAGAGTAGAAAGTTGTGGTTCTTTTAGAACCTGTTCACTCTCTTTTTCTTTTGCATCGCTCGTAAGGGGAGGTACATGCTCAGCTGATCTTTCTGGGACTGCTTTATTATCTTTCTTTAACATTAAACCTCGGAAGTGAGAATTTTCCTTCATTAAATTTAATTGCACAGAAGACAATTTATCTAATTTTCATTTATATATAACATCTGTTGCCTCTATTCCTTTTTCTATACATTCTATTTCGTGTTTTTTTGAATTTAAATCCTCTTTTACTCGTTCTAATTCAAGCCTAAGAGAATCAATTTCAGATGAGTTTGTTTTGGCCAGCTTCTCTAGTAACCCTCCCGAATCTTGGGATATATGTAATGGGGAACATACACGTTCTAGTTTCAGGTGTTTCACTTCAGCTTCCAATTTACCTATCTTAGCTTCAAGAGAAAGAATCTTGATCTTATCAAGGGATAATGCTTTCTGGGCCAAGGTCGCTTCTCCCTTCAATGATTCTATCGAAGATTTGAGTGATTTTATTTCAGCAGAATGTTCGACTTCAAGCCCATTACGGAATATCCATTCAGAAGTAATTTGGAATCTAAGCCAAGTATTAACTGCATCTATCTGGCTAATCTTATTTTTAACAACAGCATTGATTTGGTAAAACTTTTCCTCTTGCTCTGAATACTCTGAAATTTTAGCCTACAACCCTTCACTAAGATCATTAATTTTAGAGTTATATTCAATAGATAAATTTAATTTTTTTTCAAGCTCTTGCTCATATACGCTTCCTAGCCTATATTCTCTATTTTTTATATCTTTCAGTGTATGCACATTGGGTATAATCTTGGTATGATTATATAGCAAGAAAAATACGTTGCAATTTATTTTTTTTTCTATAAATACTATATATATTGATACGTATCGATGATATATCAATATATATTGAAGAGTATTAATACGTATTAGTGATATATTAATATATATTGAAGTCTATTAATACGCATTAGTGGATATTGAAATATATTAATATATATTGAAAAGTATTGATATATATACATTGATATGCATTGATATTTATTAAAGATTATTATTTTTTTTCTAGTATATAAAATAAAATCTAGTGAAGATGGTAGCCCATATCCATGATACATTTTATGATGCTAAGGCAACCTTGTTATCAGAAGCTGATATCAAGAAAATTAGAGAATCCAGAGGTAGGATACCCAATGCATCAAAAAAAATGGCTGATAAATTCTATATTGGACCCAAGTGTATTTATGAAATATTGGATAATAAAGAACATCTCCAGCAAGGTATTATTCCATCTCAGCCTGTTTTGGTTGAGAATTCCCAGACTGGTAAGATAGAACAGATTGAGTCAGATATATATAACCAAAATGCTTCCCCTTCACAGAACTAGAAAATAAAATATGTAATGTAAGAGTAGAACCTAGCAAATCTACTGATTCGACCTCAGAAGGAAATAAGGCGAAAAAATCTGGAGGAAAAAAATCAAACCCCAAAAATAAGCTAGCTCCATTAATACTATCTACTATTCAGTCTCAATCCGTGAATTTAAAAGGCTCAGATATAAATAAAGAGAAATTACATGTATTGTATAAGGAGATGGTTAAAAGAAGCAATAAAATTTTAGCAAATGTGAAAGTATAACTTTGAAAATAACTAACCTATTTTTAAAGAAGTTTATCATAGCATGTCTGTAGTCTTTCGCAATATTCATTGATTTCTGCGTTATACTTGAGAGTGATATATAGCATTTTTTCAAGCTTCTCATAGCTCATACATTTTTTTTTAATATATCATACCTATTTAACTCCTGTGAGTCCTGTGATATATTATCCAGAGTTGAGAAATCATTACAATCCAGAGTTATGTTTGCACAATTTACCTCAAGCTTGTTCTTGACCTTATGCATAGTAACTGGGATAATATAATCTTTTCCATTAAGAGGAATTTTTAGCTCATTGGTTTTTCAATCCAATGCACAATTGTATTTTTTCAAAAGCTGATTAGAAAATATTAACGTTAGCTTCTGATATTTTACAACAATAAAATCTTCATGAATAGTACAGCCTGGGCTAGAGTAATGGGTAATTTGTGAACAACTCCAACAGATTCAACCAGAATGGTGGCAATATCACTAAGATTGTGTGTTTCAGATTTATCAATTTTAGCTCCCACACGTATAACAATATTTTCTGTTATAATAGGAGGTTTAGCCTCAGAGTCTACTGTCATGGCTGGAATCTTTAAGCGCTTAATTTTACACTTTATAGTTGCGACACTTGTTTTTGGCTCCTTCTTCTTAACGAAATCAATCTCTATCAGACCATCCAAATCTTCTTCCTCATCTGGATCTAGCAATACAACCTCGGTAATTAGAGAAGTATTGCTTTAAGATTCTATCTTTTCCTGGATTAGAGGTGCTTGATTCAGTATATTAGCTTTAATAGGGTCTTGAGAAAAATGATCAGGAAAAATTAATTTAAGTTCACTTTGAAGGACTTTACGAATAGTTTCCTCCAATGAAGTTTTAGATATTTTTTTAAGAGACGATTTCTTGGAACTAGAGTCTTGCTTCACTTTTTTTTAACTTAGCTATGTTAACGGTGATATCACCTTCAAAATCAGAAGAATTCTCTGAACTTGTATCAGAGTCAGAACTGTCACTAGATGATGTATTAGTAGTAGAATCCGAATCTGAGTCTGAATCTACAGTGGCTAGGTTAATCTTACTCTTTCTAGACTTTTTGCTTTTCTTTTTCTTCTTTCAAGAGCAGTTTTGAGAATTGTGACCAGACTTTCCGCACTTGAAATATTTGTAGGCTGAAGAGGATTTCTTAACAGCATGTTTGATAACAGTATTTATAATACTATTTAATGTTAATCCTGCTAAGCTATCTGAAATATCATCTACAGGATCATGATTATTTTCATCGACAGGGTGTATATATAGTTTTTTTCTTAGTAAGTCACTCAAAAAACGTATAACGGCAGTATTTTCCACTCTCTTATCAGCTGATTTTTTACTATTATCTAGAGTTTTAGTCGCTCAAGACATAGTCTCTTGCAAGGATTTAGCTACAGCTTGTAAATCAGCCTTAGTAATATTTTCTTGACCAAAAGAAGATACTGGTGATTGATTTAGTGTTGATTGCTATAATGTCTGAATTCTACTATTTACAATCCTATCAACATCTTCTGTAGTAATACTCTGATGAAAAGGTGCTTTTGGTTTTGTCTTAGTAGCTGGCTAGTTATAAATATCTTTACCCAAAAGCATGTCATTCTTTTCTATTTCAATCTGTTTCAAGGTTTCAATCAAATCATCATTCAAAGGTCTGTTTAAACCTAATCACTTCAATTCTAACTTGTTTTCGGGAAACAAACCACGTATAAATTGTATTCTTTTTTCACGATCAGATATTCAAGCCCAGCTAGCATATTTATCTATCTTTCTATAGTAATCTCTAACTGAATCAGATCCTTGAGTCAAAGTACCAAAAATCATTTGTTGTTGCTCTTGAACAACTGTAGGATAATTTCTTTTAAACCAATAGATGATCTGACTAATATTAATATCAGGGAGGACTATATGGTTATTATTATTTAAAACTCCATTTGGTGTATTAGTTGCTGTACCAGTATCTACAGGACACCCCCAGAAAGAGACCAATCCTCATCTATATGAACATTATATGCTAGAATAACTGTGGCACCAGTAGCTCCACCCAGTAATACTGGTGGTAGAGTACCATCTGGTGCATTGATCATGGTAGCTGTTATGTTAGCATTATTCAGGGCTACTATGGCAGCCCATATTTGCTAAAGCATTCCCACATCTTACATGATTCAATCACCATTTTTTATCTATGAGTTTGTCTTCGGCCCACTGTGATGCCTCACCTATCAAGCATGACCGAAATAGTTCTGAAGTTCTTTGTTTGATGGCCACATTAGCAGTATTAATATTGGCCGCTATAAGATAAAGTCTGTAATCTTTTATGAATTCATCTATATCTTCATTTGCTCTACCTGAGAATCTTTTGGATGCATACCCTGCCATTCCTATTTGTTGTATATTAAGTGGGTTATTTTGTAGCATAAAAATTTGTTGATTTAAAATTAAAATATTCTGGCACTCTGCATGAGTTTTATTTTTCCATTTCTCATATTGCTCATAGAGTCTGTCTCTATTATATTCTAACAAACCTCTATCGGCTCTGCATCATTGTAGGTGGTAGGTATTTTGTTGATATAAGATTTGTAAGGCAAATTTTTCCTGTAGTAATACACAAATACAGGTTTGCTTTTCTGTTATATTGTCTAACATTCTGTTCACTTGATTCTGAGCATTAGTCTGCAACTGATCATGCTCCTGCATCGCTTGATCATGCTCCTGCCTGTATATATCACGATTCCATCGTTCGTTTACTAAATCCTGTTGCAGGTTAGCATATTTTCATTGGATTGATCTTGTTACCCTCTTAATTTGATTTTTTAAAATAGTTGGATATATTGTTGTATCATCTAGGGAGCGGTCTATAGCATCGGCTAATTCGGCTATTGTACCCATATCTAAATTTTGATCAAAATTATAAATATCTAAAGAATACTCATCAGAGTTGGATTCATTTTCATTAAAGTTCTGTGTTTCTGCATTTTGCAAAACCTCTCTGGTATTTATAAGCTCCAATCTATCTCTATATCTTAATAAGAATAATGCAAAATTTTGACAAAGCAGGTCTGTAATACGGCTTTTTTGTTGAGTTATTTTGTTAATCCTATTCATTTGATTAGTTCTTACCATATTTATTTTTCGTTTAAGCTATTTATTCTCATTCACTAATCTGGTTGTATAATCTTGTGCTTTGGGGGTATTGCCTGCAGATTTGGATATCTCCCGTATTCTGTTTTTTAATTTTGTCTCTCATTAATCGAATTCGGTTATTAACTTATTATTATTTGAAATTTCTTTATCTTTCTTTTTATTTTCTTTCTCGAGTTGGTGGATGATTCTTTTTAATTTTAAAATTTCTTCTTTTAGTTCCTCTTTTTCTAGTATAGAATTTCGATAGTATTATTTAACTCTTCTTCAAGAAACCGTATTCTTTCCTTCCGTATACCAATAATTCTTT